GTTAAGCCTACGTTCGTACACCCACAGTTTTTCGAGGACCTACGGTGCGATTCGTGTGATTTTATGATGCGCGGTGCTAAAATTCTTAAAAACCCAATGGTTTTTGTAGATTTCGGCGTGCGCGCGCGAAGAAAAAACGAATGTGTCCCGCATGGTATTATTTGACAGGGATGATGGCCCTGGCAGGTGCGCAACCGTTGTCGCAGAAGTTCGAAAAAGTTGCTCGCAAAAGCCCGTTTGACAGAAATTGTTTAAAAAGTGTTGGTTTTCCTACGAATCCGCAAGAGCGCGCGGAAGAACATTTTGACAATTTTTTCTTAAAAAAACCATTGGGTTTTTGATGTTTTTATGTTAAAATGATTACGAAACCTGAGGTTTTGGAAGGATTTCGTCTTGCGCGCACGAATGTCCACTTTACCTTATTTTTTGCTAGGGATTCTTGCATTTTGATCAAGTAAGAACAAGAGTTTTCATTTTATAGTGTTTTTTGCAAGGGAAAACGGACTACAACAAAACAACCGGATCTGGCATAATCCACTTTTCTGAAGCTTTCGCGAAAAAATGATGAAAATGTAGCTGCGGCCTAGGTTTTGGAGGGGGGTCGTGCACCAGGGGTCCCAACAATAATTATTCTTTAGAAGTAATAATGTTCAACAACAACAACAACAACAACAACAACAACAACAACAACAACAACAACAACAACAGCAACAAAACAAAACTCGAAAAATCGTTCCCCGAACTATTCTTGCTCATTTCGGAACCAGTCCGCCTGTAGAGGGACATGCCCGACTGAAGTCTCGCAGCCGCCGTGCCCCCAGCATAGCAGAAGCCCCCGCATTCGGGCCCGAGGCCGCCCGAGGCTGCCCGAGGCTGCCCGAGGCCGCCGCCCGAGGCCGCCCGAGGCCGCCGCCACGCCGAGGCGCTGCCGCGTCGAGGCGGCCGAGGCCGCCCGAGGCTGCCCGAGGCCGCCGCCGCGCCGAGGCGCTGCAGACCCACCGCGCACTGGGAGGCCCACGCCGCTCGGCGCGGACCGCCACGCGCCAGGGGAGGGTGGAGCCCCGCCAGGCACGCGCGCGCGTGCGCGCGCCGCGGCGGCGGCCAGCGCGGCCCCGGCGCCCACGCAGTCTGAACCAGACAGGCGCGCTCCCCTGCTCGCAGAGCAACTCCTCGCAAGCGGATCCTGGATCCGCCATGGGGGATCTGCGATAACATCACATCAAGACGCACTCGCGTTTTCCCCGACGTTTGCGAGCAGGCACGTTGCGAGGAGGAGGAGGAGGAGGAGGAGGAGGAGGAGGAGGAGGAGGAGGAGGAGGAGGAGGAGGAGGAGGAGGAGGAGGAGGAGGAGGAGGAGGAGAGTGGGAGGAGGAGGAGGAGGAGAGACGAGGACGAGGAAGAGGAGGAGGGGGAGAAGGAGGAGGAGGAGGGGGAGGGGGGAGGAGGAGGAGGAGGAGGAGGAGGAGGAGGAGGAGGAGGAGGAGGAGGAGGAGGAGGAGGAGGAGGAGGAGGAGGAGACAGGGAGGAGGAGGAGGAGGAGGAGGAGGAGGAGGAGGGAGGAGGAGGAGGAGGAGGAGGAGGAGAGGAGGAGGAGGAGGAGGAGGGGGAGGAGGAGGGGGAGGAGGAGGGGGGGAGGGGGAGGGGGAACACGAGGAGGAGGAGGAGGAGGAGGAGGAGGAGGAGGAGGAGGAGGGGGAGGAGGAGGAGGACGAGGAGGAGGAGGAGGAGGAGAAAGGGAGGAGGAAGTGGAACGCGCTCGGTGACGAACGAGGAGCCGGCGGGCCTTGCCTCTGGCCGCGGCGAGCCCCGGCGCCACGGGCCGGCTCGTCCGACCCGGGTGTGGAGAGCGGCCCAGAGGGGCCGGGCCCCCCTCGAGTGGTCCCTCTGTCGGCGCCTCCTGCAGGAAGGCACCGACTATGTACACCAACGCCGATCCTGGCCAGGATCGCTAGGAGGAAAACAAACCTACCTCGCTTGAGGAAAACAAACCTACCTCGCTTTTGACCACCCTCGCTTCCAAGAGATACCAAACGATGCCAGACTGCGGCCTGTGCTGGTCAGGCCGCCTGACAGGGAGGCGCGTGGTATGGCTTGGTTTTGCCTGGAAGCGAAGGCGGGGTAGGTCATTCAGGCTCTGAATCACCCTGGGCCCAGGATCGGTGTGCACGCTCTCCTGCCTTGGGCAAGGAGGCATATAAATCATACACCGATCCCGGGCCCGGGGTGGTCCTGGGCCAGAGGATCGGTGTGGGTGTGTAGCGGCGGGTGCCCTCCGATCCTGCCGGCAGGGCGCTCGGATGGCGGGGGGGGCACAAAGAGGCGGCGCGCTTCCGGGGAAGACGACGAGGGCGGGCCCTCTCAGAAGGCGGCGGGGCTTCTCGAAGCGCTCCGAGCTCCTGAGGAGCCCTGTGCGGCTTCGGGGAAGGGTCAAAAAGCTTCTCATAAGGCCGGAAGCCTTCCAAGCATTCCAAAAAGGGTCCGCCCCCTCTGCATTCCCCCCTGGGCGCGCCGCCGAAACAAACATCGGGGGATCGAGGAGTGCAGGAAAGTAGACCTGGAGGGCCCCTGGACTGCCCACGCGCGGGCCCAGAAGGTGATGGACAGGTGCACGTCTCTTCACCCCCCCATGTATGCCCCCCCATCAGAAGACGCCCGATCCGTTGATTCGCCGGCCCTGCCGTAGACCTCGTGGTCCCCACTTTCACTGCGGTCACCTGGGGTCCCCCAAGCTCGCCAACACGAGGTGCATCGACACAGATCGCAATCACGCCGACAAAAACTAAAATATCCCCCTTCCTTTGGTGCTTTCTGGGCTCTCCCCCGGTCGACCGGGCTCCCGTTGCGGAAAGCGCACTCGCCCCCCACCCGCTCCCAGCTCCAGCCCCTCACCCGTGGAAAAGGAAGAATGCAAGGAAGAATGCATCTCGGGTGGGGGGGGGCCTGGTCCCGGTCCCCCCGTGGACGGAATGCTTCCCGAACGGGGTTACATACAGGGGCCGAAGGCCACCAAATTTCCGCCCTCGCGTCAAAGCCGCGGCTCGTCTCAGGGTCGGCGGAGATGGTCGTAAGGCACTGCAGCATGAACTCTCAGCAGCTGACAAATACTGGCACAGCGCCGCCCGAGGGAAGCTCGACCGGAAGTGTCGCGCGTGTTTCGCCACCCCGTCTGGCAGGAAAGGGGCTCCAGCATTGGTCGAGCTTTCACCCCCTGTAGTCTCCTCGATTGGTGCCCGTGCCCGTCTCTCCAGTCGGCAGATTGGCGATTGCCCCGGGCGGCCCCCGAGCCAAGAGAGGCGGCGCGAGGTCGGCCCGGGAGGCCTCCGCCTGGAGGGGGGGAGGAGGAGGAGGAGGAGGAGGAGGAGGAGGAGGAGGAGGAGGAGGAGGAGGAGGAGGAGGAGGAGGAGGAGGAGGCGGGACCCCCTCGAGGGATGAGATGTCGATGTCCTCGACAGCAATTGCCCTACCAGAACGAAGGGCTGAAGAAGGAACCAAGGGGCCCCGCTGGCTGCGGCCAACCCTGGGCACGAATAGTTGGGGGGCGGAAAGATACGGATACGTGTTGTCCCCGGACCTCTCTTGGGGTGCGTTCTGACCAGAATTTCGAGGCGAATCCAGCGGTGACAACGAGGATTCCCCAGGAGGACCAGGAAAGGCCGAAAACGAAGGGGGACAACACGTATCCGTATCTTTTTCTACCCCGAAATAGCTTCCCCGAGCCAAGTCTTAGGAACGGCCCGAAAATCCGAGCCCCCTCTTGAGCCCAGAGCGTGCCCTCCTTCTTCGAGCGTCTTGACTGCATCCCTCCTCGAAGCGTGCCCCAAAACTCCGACGTCGCGACTGCTCACGACGTGGGTCCCTGGAGCCCTCGACCCCTTCGGTCTCTGAAGGCCCAGGGGCCCAACAACGCCCCCCCGGCGCCGGACTCGGGAGAAAGACCCGTCGCCGTGCGTCGTGCTCAAGCAAGCAAGCAAGCAAGTCCGGCCGGGCGACTCAGAGAGCCGCTCGCCCCATTAATGGGGACGGAAATGAGGACATTGTGAAACAAAACGACTACCTGTGCACAATATATGAATAACACCCCTCGCATCAGACAGAATGTTCGGCACAGTGCGGTTGCGCCCCCGACGGGGCAGCCTGGCGACCACAAAAAGGTTTGCTCTGGGCTGGACGCGGCAGCAAAAAACCCTCGCACGAAACCCGACCCCGAAAATCCGCGCGCCGGGTGCAACTCGGGGGAAGTCCACTTCTCCCTGAGCGCAGCAGCTCCTCCGAGCGCCCGCGAGGAAGTCCCCGCGCGGCGCGCGCGGCCAGGAAACCCAAGAGAGCCCAACGAGAAACAGCCGATGTCTCGACGCACGTCCCCGCCGAGAGAGAACTGCGCCGCCGAGAGGGATCGAGGGAAATCCGTTTCCTGCGTGCACCACGCCCGCGCCGTGCAGGGCGCCGCCAACGTCCAGGTCTACCGCCACGGGGGGGGAGGACTCGTAGTCCAGCGCCTGGCGGGCGTTGGCAGCCCGTGTGACCGGGGAGGGATAGGAGCAGGATGGTGCCGTTGGCGAAAGGCGATGATTATGACGATGGCGATGCTGACGATGGCGATGATGGCGATGCCGATGGCGAAGATGACGATGAAGATGACGATGACGATGACGATGACGATGACGATGACGATGACGATGACGATGACGATGACAATGGCTATGACACCGATGATGATGATGATGATGATGATGATGATGATGATGATGATGATGATAATGATGATGATGGTGATGATGATGGGGATGATGATGATGATGATGATGATGACGATGATGATGATGACTATGACGATGACGACGACGACGACGACGATGATGATAATAATGACGATGATGATCATGCTGATGATGATGATGCTGATGATGATGATGACGTTGACGGCGATGATGATTATGACTATGCTGATGGTGGTGATGATGATGATGATGGTAAATGATGATGGTGGAGATTGTGATGATGTCGACTTTTCCTGGGGCGCACGCGGCTCCAGGCGTTTGCAACCCCGCGGCTGGCGCGTGGCCCCCGCGCAGCCCCCACGAATCACCGCTCCCCGAAGAAGAAGTACGGCAGGAAGTTCGCCACGTACTCGTCGAACTCATCCTCTGGCGGGAGCAGCACGGACTGGTTGTTGATCAGCAGCAGCAGCGTGTAGAAGAGGAACAGCATGACGATCGCAAACACCAGCACCACGTACGTGGCGGGGCTGTCCTCCTTGGCGGTCACGCCGTACTCGCTGTTGAGAGGCTTCAGGAGGTCGCTGAGGCCCGTGCGGATGCCGTTGAAGTTTGGCTTGCGCCTCGGCGCGTCGTAGGCGGTCATGTCCTCGAACTGGTTGTTGCGGAGAACGCCTGCGGAAACGCTGGCCTCGCGCTGCTGCTGCGCGGCGGGGCCGGAGACGAAGCCAGGCCCGGCGCACAGCGCCAGGGCCGCCAGCGCGGCGGCGCAGAGGGCCACTGGGCGCGCCATTGGTGCTTTAAGAAACCGCAGCCTGCTGCGGGGCCGGCAGAATGGCGATCCGAAAAACCTTGATCCAAAATGGCTATGTACGGATGGTGGTGACGGTGCTGGTGCTGGCGCTGGTGCTGGTGATGGTCATCATCATCATCATCATCATCATCATCATCATCATCATCATCATCATCATCGTCATCATCATCATCATCATCATCATCATCATCATCATCATCATCATCATCATCATCATCATCATCATCATCATCCTCATCATCCTCATCCTCATCATCCTCATCATCCTCATCATCATCATCATCATCATCATCATCATGCTGATGGTGATGATGGTGGTGCTGATGATGATGATGAATGATGATGACGGTGATGATGAGCATGACGGTACCAATGACATTATACCTGGAGATCAGGGTGACGATGATGACGATGATGATGATCATGACAACGATGATGCTGATGCCGATGAGGATGATGATGATGATGACGATGATGACGACGATGATGATAATGACGATAATGATGCCAATGATGATGATGACGATGATGATGATGGCGATGACCATGATGACGGTGATGATGATCATGGTAATGATGATGGTGATGATAATGATGATGATGGCGATGAACATGATGATGGTGACGATGATGATGGCGATGACCATGATGATGGTGATGATGATGATGGTGGTGATGATTATGGTGGTGATGATGATGGTAATTAATGATGAGAATGCTGATGATGATTGTGAGGATCAGGAATGTGGCTGCGGCACGCGATGCACAGCTGGGCACTCTCTTACACGCCTCAAGCTGTGCGCGCTTTATAACACTACCAGGCACGGGGCTGCCAGTGCCTCCGCTCACGAGCGGCTCGACTTGCGACGCTCGGGGCGAAAGGGGGCTCAGCGCAGCCCCAGGGAAGAACACTCCGTATCAGTGACCAGCGAGAGCCGATCGGCGGGCTCCTGCCGTTCGCCTCCCAAAATGGTGGCTTGACAACAAATTGACGTTCTGCGCCGTGAACTATACCTCCCCGCAACCTTAGCAACCTGTAGATCGTCGACCCTTCACTGGTAAAGTAATGTTGCAGAGCGCTTTCGTTTGAAAAATGATCAAACTTCAGAACGAGACAGTGGCACTGCGGATGGGTACTTCCTGAACGGTACACACTGGGCTTGATGCTCTCCATGGTGTCTCCGATACTCACGTCTAGCAAGTATCGTTTTGCCAGTCAGTGTTTCAATCAACAAAAACATGTGTTTGAATTACTGCATGAAGCACTCGTAGAACACTTGACTCAAGCAGTGACGATTCGCACCACGAGACTAATATGGTACGCAGCATCTGCAACAACTGAAACCCAAGTGGTACCTTTGACGTTTACACAAGCATGCACTCCAATATACTGCTGGTACTTCTGTCAACCATGGGGTCTGCCGTTCACCGCTTGTGATACGCCTAGCAGACTGGTCGAAATTCAGAGTGGAATGACGAATGAGTGTCAATGTCCTTGCCGATCCACTCCTCTATGCCAAACATGTAGAAGAAGAAGAAGAATGATGTACGAATTTCCAACCCCCCTATCTTCGCATTCTAAGCGCACTCTTGTCGTGATCTCGTGGAACATCGAAGTAGTTCTCCGTAGAAGACGCAGATCAGGCGGCCCAGCTTCTGAAAGTGGGTCGTTGGAGTGTTGTCACGGACTGGTGACAGATCCGTACCCCTGCAACTCCTATACGTGCACTAAGAGACGGCGGTCGATTACAGTGATTGGACTGGTGCCCACGGCTTCTTGACCACATAATCGTCTGCTGAGCGCGCTGGTCTCACGATGCTATGGCTCCCCAGAAGAAGAAGCCAACAAACAGGAGGTGACGGATTACATGGACGAAAAAGATAACAAGTAAACCTGCTGATAACGTTTGCGAAAGGCGGGGCACACGAAACACATCGGAATGCTCTGACACAGCTTGAAGAGCAGTCGGCAGGAGGGCCCAGCTCTCCTGCCCTCTGCGTCGAAGTATGCTGAAATCCTGTGTTGGCACGACGCATGGCATACGTTTAGGTCGGGCACGGGCGGATTTTGCAAGAAAAATTAAAAATACCCAAACAAATCCCCAGAAAGATTCAAAGATGGTCAAAGAATCGTCCCCAGACTATGTTTGGACTATTTTTGAATACTCCTCCTGTAGAGGGGCATGCCCGACTTAAGCACACGTCCGGCCCGACTATCTGCGCTCGCTCCGCTCGAGATCGTGGGACAGCTTAAACAAAGAGGCCACTGTGAACATCGAAGGGAAGGACAGACAAGGGGAGACAGGGAGACGACAACCTCCACGGATCATCGGCCCCTATCCTGGAAATCGGGGTCAACACGGTTTTGCGCCAAGACGGCGGCACCGCGAACCCCACGGCTGTGGATCCCACATCCTCCTCCCATATGGAACCAACGCCAAAGAGCGAACAGGAGGATCTTGAGGAGCCCTACATGCATCCACCTCGTCCCTCTCCTCATCCACACCCCACATCCCTCCTCCAATTTCTCCTCCGCCTCCGCCTCCTTTCTCCTCCTCCTCCTCCTCCTCCTCTTCCTCCTCCTCCTCCTCCTCCTCCTCCTCCTCCTCCTCCTCCTATATGAGGAGGACCAAAGGGAAGGAGGAGGCCTCGAGGAGCCGGCCCAACGCATGCGGGGGGGGCCGCTTAGGGGGGGGCGGGAATTGGGCAGCGGAAGGCGGGAATTGAGGGAACAGAAAGATACCACCGATAGCCCTACCCCCTCCCGGGCGCGCTCTGACGAGGATTTCGAAGCGAATCCAGCCGTGGCGACGAGGGATTGGTTGCGGTATCAGTACCCTGCCTTCCTCTGGGGAACCGCAGTGAGCGAAAAAGGAACAGCGAGGGCGCAGACTCTTCGCGCCAGCGGACCGCTGGAACGCTCATCGAGGTCAGTCGCAAAAGGACACCCCTCGAGACCGTCTCTGCACTCGAAAGAGGCAGCGGAGGGAGGATGCAGACGAGGGTGACGGCGACGGCGAGGAGCGAGGAGAGATAAGGTTTGTGGCCAAGAGGCAGAGCAGCAGGAGGAAAGGAGGGGACCAGGCAAGCTGCACGCACACATTGTTTCAAGCTGCGCGGCCTCCGCTCCTCGAGAGAGCTCGTCGTGAAAGAACCGGTGGATTTACTGGACAGATGTTACACATTGCACGTGACGGCACGATTAAACTCTTTTTTGATTCGCGGGTCGAGAGCGCACCTCTTCCAGTCGAAGCTAAGCGGGCCGCGCAGCGCTTGAATCACGCAGAGAAGGGGAAGGAGAAGGGGGGCGCAGCCTCAGAACGAGGCCGGGAGGAGGCAAAGCAGTGGCACGACTAAACTCACCACACCCCTTTTTGAACTGGCGGGCGGGTCAAGGTGGGCGGCCGTGCTCCAGTGGTCGAAGCTGAAGGGGCCCCAGGACACACAAATAAATACACACAAATAGAAATATTCCCCATATTTTCCAATATTTTCTGGGTTTTTGTCTTCCCCCCACTTCCCATAGTTTCCCATATTTCCTGGGGAATCGACGATTAATTGTGTCTGCGTGTTTCTTTCCCTCCTGAGAAGCTGCGTGCCGATATCGCTCCTGCACCTCAGGCGGCTCAGATGCCGGTGGCCTTCAGTTCGAAGACCGCGCGCCTCCTGGGCCAAAAGACCAGCGTGGGGCGCGGGCTTGGCGCCTGGCATGCCGGAGCACGCTGGAGCGAGCCGCCCAGCGCCCACGGGCCCGGCTCTCGGGCACTGTGTGCAGGAGCCGAGGTACGCCTCGCGGCCGGGACCTGCATGGCGCAATGCACGCGGAGGAGGCACAATGCGCGTCAATCGGCTACACGCAAGAGTGACCCTGGGTAAGAGTGACTTTTGGTGCGCGGTTTTTGGGGGCCGTGGGCACCAAACCTGGGCGCGCAAGCCATCTGGGGACCCATCTGTGCCCGCACCAAAGGTCACTCCGGCGAAAGGTCACTCTTACGTCTAGTCGAGTCAACGGCGGCCGCAACCTTGGCATAAGGCACCTAAAATCGTGCCCCGGATATGTTGAACCACGGGTCCGCACGAATGCCGCTCCTGGAACGTCCGGCCAACATCGCGGCAGTCTCCAGGCGATCAACCAAGAGTCCCTGGTCGATGCCGGTCTCGGTGGACTCGCCGCGGGCCTCACGCCGAAATGCAAAGCGACCTTGAAGGGATCACCAACGACAGCGACAGCCTCTTTCCGAAGCTGGAAGATCTCTTGTTGACGACAACACGCATCAAACATCGTCAGCATGATATCGGCCGCTTCGCGCCCCTCATCGCCGCGAGCCCCAAGTCGCGCAGTCATGACCACCATCACCTCAGCACACAGCGCTTCTCCAACCCCAGCTGGTTCGATCTTCCGCCATGCTGCCACTGCACGGGCTGCGCATGGCAGGTGGCATGCGGACAACGCCGGAGAGCAGGCTCGCTCCTGCGGCGATGCCCTCACCGTCGATGCACCACTGCTCCACCATGCGGTCTGCCAGCGAAGTGCCCATGAGGATGGGATTCAGGCTGGCACAGTGGAATCCTGCGCGACTCCGCCCAACCGAGGATGGATTCACCACGAGGAAGACAGGCGTGCAAGTTCGTCTCGTCAAGCATGGCGTGGACCAGCAAGCGGTCGGCCAGGCCCGCGAGCAGCCCTGGCATTTCGGTCTGGATGCGGATCCATTCCCACGCAGTGGCACCGCGACGCACGCGGCGAGGTGGTAGGGGCGCCGAACAACGACGACCGCGAGGCCGCTCGGCTGCGGGCCTGGCCTATGCCGACCGAGGGCCTTCTCCTGGATATCCTAAGGTCGAGTCGAACACCAACCAAAACCTTCCCAAAGCTCTCTGACGCCCCGATACCTGCCCGTCGGCAATGAAATAGCAGATGCACCCAAAATCGCGGATGAACTGGTACACCCAAAAAGCACGCCTGGACCAATATGGAAGTTCTGACGAGCGAATGGATGGACGCGGCTTTGCCGCCCCGACCGCGTGGCCGATAGCACGAAGGCATGTGCCAA